AAGAGATTAAAAGGGTCCAGCTTGTTTAAACATTCCCGTATGGGTTATTGTACTCATTTTTCAATTCTCAAAAAATCCAGATCCCTCTTCCTTTAGCAGTTACATCATTGATAAAAGTACTGAATATTCAAGGGCTGTAATGTAGCACAACTGCTCTTTCAACCTGCCTTTGCTGCATTTGAGTCGATGTATGAATTCTACCCAAATTGTGCAGTTGATGTCAAATGCCTTTATCGGCTTCCTGCTCTTTGGTTGAAGAGCAGTTTGTCGCAGGGTCCACTACAAACACTGTAGAGAAATATTACAAGAGCAGTTGACAGCCGACAGGTTATGTCAACGTAGACATGAGTTTTTCGTTGAACTGTCCCTTTAAAAGAAGAGCACAGGGAGAAGGACATCTCAAATTCTGATCACAGCCAACAAAGACTTAATAGATGTGTTGGCAGAGTGTGTGTGTGTGTGGAGGCTTGCACCAGGTGTCTATGAGAGAGGAGAGAGACCCAAAACTGCTGCTGTTTTGGGGGATCATTTCAGAGGCGGTATGTTGGGCCATGTGCATGCGTCTACAAGCAATCTGTGTGTGTGTGTGTGTGGTGTGTGTGTATGTGGTGCCGGGGAGGACGCGAGGCGGGAGGAGATTTAGACCCATCAATAAAGGAATTCTCCCCCCCAGCCCGTAGCTCATCCCGACACTTTTATGCCTTTTTTAATTTTTCAGGGCCCATTGCAGCCAAGCCCAGAGATGTGATTTATACTGCCTGGCAGCCATGCACGCAGCAAGAAAGACAGATGGAAGAAGGGAGGAGAGGAGGGGGGAGGAGAGGAGGAGAGGAGAGGGTTAGCAGAGTTGCCGAGGGAAAGAGGGGAATGGAGTTGTGGGGTTGGGGTGGTGATAAAAAAGAAAGAGATGAGGATGATGGGGGTTCAGAAGAGAAAAGAGGAGAGACAGAGAAAGGGGTTGAGAAAGGCAAAAAAAAAAGACAAAAAAAATCTCCCTTGCTTTTGTGGCAAGGAGCCTCTCCCCTCATCTCCCCTCTCTGCCACATCTCCACCTCTACATCTCTCTCCTTCTCTAAATGAGTTATGGCCTGTCTGACTCAGGAAGAAGAAGCCCATCCTCTCCACCAAACTGGCGCCCTGACAGCCTAAATCACCCTCCCTTCCCCAACCCTCCGCCACCCCCCATTCCTCTATTTCTCCCCCCCCCCCCGCCAGCGCAGGCGACCAGGACACTCCTCCTCCTCCCCCTCTTGCTTGCCTCACGCCTGCCTGAGGTGTGTGAAATCTTCATGGCGCTCCCATTGATTGGGAAGGGAGGTATTGGGAGAGGGGGTGGGGGGTTCGGCATTTGACAGGCTCAGGTCTGAGGCTACGAAGAAGACGAGGAGGCCGCCACCCACAAAGAGACAGCTCACTTACAGGGAACATGGAGAAGGTGGAGGGGGGTGCAGGAGATGAGTAGACAGAGGCAGTGGACAGAGGTGGCGGCGTTGTGAAATGGGAGGCAGGAGAAAGTCAGGGAGGAAGAAGGGGCTCTTGATGTTGGATGCAGGTGCATGCTTTGGATACCTGTGTATTGGATTGTCTGTGTGTGTGTGTGTGTGTGTGTGTGTGTGTGTGTGTCTGACACCTGCCTGCCAGTGTGGCGGTTGTGCTGTCTCTACGCTGTAACATCTCTCTCTGTCACCCAGCCGCCTGAGAGGAGATGAGCTGCCATGCCGACTGTCATTCATCCATCACAAAAGACAGCACACACGCTCGCACACACACGTATACACTCTCCGTGGGATACAAAGCTAAACACGCTTTTTTTCTGCTTTCATCTAAATTTCCACTTAGATAAAACACTTTTTTGGTTTCTGTCGATACATTTTTCTCTCCTACTCTCTTTCTGTCTCTACTCCCGACCATAACTGTCACAGAAGTATTTTAGAGAAGGAATTGCCTCCCAAATTCAACTCTAAATGAGAACAGGGACTGCTGAAACGCCTTTGGTTTATTACCTCATTAATCTGTGGTTATTTCGCCCAGAGACTTTAAATTTGATATTGAGCACTCATATCTGTCTGATTCGAAGCATCCTGTGTAATGTCGAAAGAGAAATGCACTGGTATCAAAAGCAGAGAGACACACTGGTATAATCCACTCCACAACTAGGGTCAGTTGTAACATCGGTTGGGGTTAATTGTAACAATCATAAAAAGTGCTCATTTTCTAATTAAATTCTAATTACTTTTGTCATTAATTTTAATGGGGTCATTTATAATGTCTCAACAACAGAACCATGTATACTGCATGCCTCTGTGTGTTTTGAGAAAGCAAATATGGATGTATGTCTGCGTGTGTCTCTACAGCAAAAATACAAACAGTATGACACCAAATTAGAATCTCAGTCTGGAGTAGCTGGTGTTCATTCCAAATGTAGCAGCAGAGCACATGTCACTTTGTTTAATATAAATGGAAACTGGAGACGAGAAGTGTGGCAGCAAGAATTTGTTTGTCGAAAAACAGCGTTTGTTTAGATTAGCACATGGAATTCTGAAACAACTGAACTGACATAAACTGGCAAATGCTTCTTTCTTGTATGAAAAAAAGGTAAGTGTGTGTATATAAGAGTTCATCTTAATGGATTTGCTTAGACAATAGGTTGCTTGGGATAGTATTCTAGGATACTTATTCTATATTTTTGATATCTTCAACAAATTCCATTGAAAGATCAGAACAAACAATTCAATACTTTGCAGCCCGGTCTATGGCACATAGCCCCATGCTTATCCTTTCCTACTAAAGATGTAAGTCTTTGAAAACTGGGCCGCAAACATTTAGTTTCTTATATTAAAACGGTTCAATAATTTCCTTAAACACCTGGGCACTGTATTTTTTAGAAAACATTACTCAAACAGAGTAAATTACACATTTTTTGGGGGACAATTTTCAGCTTCGGCTAATACATGTCTGTAAGGGTTTATGATAGCAGGGCGGTGTATGTAGGACTGACTTAAAATAAACTACAGTGGCCATGTTCACTGTCATTACAGAACGTGTCATCCAGTGGAACAGTGTGGCTTAGTGATGTGTTTTTAATATTTTTTGTACTCAACAATGGAGGTCTAAGGCATAAAGGAATCACCAGACGTATCCTGTGACTTCAATCATATTTCTGTTTGGTGCAAAAAGCACAGCTCACAGACAGCCAAATAAATCTATTAACTAAATAAAATCATGTTTGGATGTTAATGTGTGCATTTGTGAGTATTAGAAAACGATACTAAAACAGTACTCCACTCCATAATTCTGGGTCACTCTGTGAAGTATTTTTGAGGACATAGAGATTCACTGTGTTATATCTGTCCCAGTCCTTCCCTTTTGCTCAAACCCCACACTGCCACCCTTCCAGCTGTAGCTCCTTCAACCCCTCTGGCCTCTGTGGGAGGAGCACTTGTGATCTCAGAAAGGTCAAATTGGTCTCACATTAGAGCCTTTTTTTTTGGTGAAGGCTGCTTGGCTGATGACAAGGCAATATTTTTGCTTCTGCTGAAGACGATAATGCGGTTTGTGGGAATGAAGGTAATGCTGATGATGTCACCAGCAGTTGAGAGGTACCCACCAAGTAGTCGCAAACCTGAGTAAATGCGTGTCAATCACTGGTTGTTGCTTCCTGCTTCCCTTCGTTGTTTTTTTTATTTACAAAGGACTAATCCATGCATTGGGTTTTATTTAACCGTAACAGTCAGTCCGCGTGGAGTTGTTTTAGCTTGGCACAATCTATGACCACTCTAATTGCTTGCCCATCCCATCTCATGGCGCGTATCTTTAAACGAACAAACACGTGCTGCACTGTTTCTCCAACCGCTCGTTGTCGTAGGCCTAACAGCCCTTACTGGCACGATGAATTTGATAAATCCCCTTATCGCCCCGGGAGACAATTAAAGCGCATGTGACAGGGGTCCCTATCTCCGCTCTCCTCCTGTAGCGCTTCATTTAGAAGCCATTTGTCTCCGCTATGGATTTCCTATTTTTAATGGCGCGCGTATGTAGGGGTCGGGGCCGTGCTGAATAATAGATGCCTTTCGCTCCCTGTCTTTCCCTTTCATTCCCTCTCTTGCTCATTTCCTCATCGCTGGGCCCCATGGGAGGGTGTCGGTGTCACTCTGGAAACCAAGGTGCAGCGCTCCTGGTGCTCTCCAGATTCTGGCAGGAGGCTATTCAATCTAGCGGACGAGGCTTTTGGTGAAAGCCAGCAGGAAGACAGTGAGCTGATATCAACGGGCACACGTTAACCCTCAGCCCCCACCCCACTCCTTCCCCACATCCCCAGTAAAGGACGTTTATCACAGAAAGCGGGGCCGCTGCGCAGTGAGGTGATATATCGCCCTGGCCGAGCGCGAATGAATAGACTAGTAATTATCCCGTTAAAAGGGTGGCCAGACAAAGAGAGAGCCTCGCTATAATTTAAATTGTTTTGTTTCCCCCACAGTCGAAGCCTGGCCCGCTGACTGACATCACGGAATGGGAAAAGAGAGCCTATTTATAGCCTGAGACGTTCAGCTAATTGTAGAATTTAATAAGGTTTCTGGAAGAGTGGATTCTGTAAAAGCCATAGGCCTGCACCTCCTCTCCGGTCTGCTCTTATATCTCACATCTTTCTTTGCCTCTGCAGCTCTGCTGCCTCCCATATTTCTCTCTGTATCTTGCACTTCAGCCTATCCTCGCATCTTGCCATCTTCTATCCTACCATCTTCACTTTTTGT